TCTGCCAGGGCTGTCCGTGGGTGGGGCGGGGATTCGATCCGAAGCTTCGACCTCGACCGCGGTTGCGGTGACTGCCACGGCCACGACCATTGCCGCTGCTGTGTGGATGCTGACCGTGACTGCTGCTGCTGCTGTGGGACCCGCGACCTCCGCCAGCGGAATTGTGGAGGATGGCACCATGGTTGCTGGCCGAGAGAAGGGCCGTGCCGGTGGGAGGATCGGCATCCAGGTCTGCTCCTTGGCGTTCCAAAAGAAGGAGGGCCGAGCGGGTTTGAAGAAACGTCGGTGGCGGGGTTTGAAACTGCAGGAAAGATGTTTGGCCCCGCATGTCATCCGGCAGCCCCCGAAGTACTTGTAACACAAGTTGTTGTTCCGAGACGGGGGCATCTACGTCGTCCAACCAATCGGCTATGTTCTTGAGAGTTTGACAATAGGCGGAGATGGACAGCAAACCTTTCCTCGTAGTCCGAAATTGATGTTCCAACTGCAAGGCTCGGGCGGGTTTGTTATCATGGAAAAGGGAGTGAATGGATCGCCAAAGTTCCGCGGCGGAGTCGGTGGAGGAGATCACGAGATCGGAGACTTCATCGTTGATAGTAGAGAGGATCCATCCTTGGAGGAGTGCGTCAAGTTGATACCAATCAGCATCGTCGGCACCGGACGGGGCTGATTTTCCAGTGAGGAAGTCGCCGAGAGAGAAGCGACGGACTAAGAGGAGAAATAGGCGACTCCACTTTTTGTAGTTCGGTTCCGTGAAACTCAAAAGCACCGGGACATGAAGCTTGACGTTAGAAATTGTTGTGAATGCCAAATGAGGAGTGGAGGCGGAGGAGGGAAGTTTGCCGGAGCCTGCTTCTTTCTCGGACATGGCGGCGACTGGAGATGGACGCTGGGAGGGCAGCTGCTGTGGAGAGGCGGCACAGGGGAGAGAAGGGCGCTGGTGGATGCGCGCTTGATAGGGAGAGGACACGCCGGCGCTGGAGGCAGAAGAATTATTGCTGGCGGCGTTAGGGTTGGTGGTGCGGCGGAAAGCAACGGACGAGAGAGAAGGAGGAAAAAATTTTAGGGTTTAGGAAAGAGGCTCCGATACCATGAAGAATTATTTTCTATATTGATTTTGTGGAGTCAAGCCCCGTATATATACAAAACATAAGTCTCCTAACTATGGTAGGATTATAAAAAAGGAAACCCTATACAAAGGAAACTACCAAATATATGTAAAGATATTAAATATACAATATATTTAACATGCTGCCAACTACGTGACTGGCGAAGGGCGAATGCCGAGACTGTGCCTGAAATCGGAGAAGAGGAGAGAAGGTAGCCCTTTGGTGAATATGTCGGCATACTGAGAGGAAGAGGGAACATGAAGAACACGGACCTGCCCTAGAGCAACCTTGTCCCTGACAAAGTGTATATCAACCTATACATGTTTTGTGCGCTGGTGCTGAACCGGGTTGGTCGATAGGTACACGGCACTTACGTTGTCACAGAAGACTAGTGTGGTGCGGCGCAGAGGTTGCTGCAACTCGAGGAGGAGATTTCGGACCCAACTTGCCTCAGCTACGGCATTTGCAACTGCTCGATAAACAAGCCCCGTATAAAGAAGAATTATTTTCTTTATTGATTTTGTGGAGTCAAGCCCCGTATATATACAAAACATAAGTCTCCTAACTATGGTAGGATTATAAACAAGGAAACCCTATACAAAGGAAACTACCAAATATATGTAAAGATATTAAATATACAATATATTTAACAACGGGTCACATTTTAAAAATATGTCTTATTATACACTTTATACGTTCGGGGTACATATACGGATACGTTCGTGTTTTATACATATAATTTTTGTAAATTACGGCTTATAAATAGTATAAATATTTTTAATAAGAAAGACAATTCTAACATTGAATTTGAATATGAATACATCATAACAATTTTAAAACATCAATCAATTCTACGATTTATTATTTATTCACTTTTTCCATGTGTATCCAAAAGATATCTTTCAATAAACTATTATTATGTACTTCCACCAAATATAAGAACACATTAAAAATGAAACTAACATTTGGATACGAATGGAGAATTTGCTCAAACACGCAAATTGAAGAATATCGATGAGAACATCTACAACGGATATTTACCGTAGCAAATTTGTCGCAGTTTTTCAATCTGCTACGAAAAAAGCTCTTTTGCGACAGAATTTTTCATAGCAATTCAGGTTTTTTTTGCAATGCCCGTATATTATTAGACAATTTGAGTTTTACATATGAAATTGATTAAATGCTCATCATGAATATTAAATGAAGATTCAAGTCTCTTTGTAATATAAATACAAACTCATTAAATAATCATTTACGCAATTTAAATCTGAGTAAAATGAAATCAACTTTATATATTTCATTTTTAGAATGAAAAATACAGTTACGAACTTATATTTTTAGAATTTAGATCACACAAATGAAATCAAATTTATATTTTTAAACTTCGATAAATATTTAACCAAAAAAGCTAAATACAAAAAATTGATTACATTTTAAAAATCCAAAAAATTGAGATAAAGTTGATAACTACTATTTGTTAGAGCAGTATGAGTGTTGGACTCCCAACTAGATGGAGTCGAAGAGACTGGTAGACTAGACCATGAATGATATTTAATTAACAAAAGATGTTGTTGAATGACTTAAACTGGATTCTTATTCTAAAACATTAAAATTGTTGAGTCGACAAATTTTAAAGATTTGTATTTTTGAGTAGAAGACAATTAAGTAAATTGATCTGATAAATAATTGACCTTCTAAATTTTGATTATTAGAATAAAAAAAGAGGATTTTTACGATTTAATACGTATAAAAATCGTAAATATGTTAGAGTCAAAAATACGTATGTTATATGTTTTACTTGAAAAATTCATATTCGGTAGTATAATAAGCTTATTATAAGTACTAGCAGGGCACACACTACGTGTGTGTTTGCCCAAGCATGTTTAAAAAAGGGTTGCATTTAATAAGAAAAAAAACATTGATCCATAGAAGGTGCGCATGTAGCAGTTTAAAACATGTATACTATTTTACAAAAGGGGTAAGGATACATTAACAGCAGCATAGCATTACATATATATATATATATATATATATATATATATATATATATATATATATATATATTACATCTCTTTAAGTTTACAAAAAGGGTGATGATTACAGTGATACACCATATAAAACAAAAGAGTTATAGTAGCATAGCATTACATATATCTTACATGCACTCAAGAACTAAAGCGTTTTAAGTTAAGGCAAAAACTGACCTAACGAAATCTAAAAATGACCTCCATAGTGGTTAGGTGTCATTTTCAATAGTTTTTTTTACTAAAGGCAGTTGGTTTGGAAGTCAACTTATTATTTTCTCCTACATATGTTTTACTCATCTTGGCTTGCAGTTTGTTTTCTCTTTAGAAGTGCAGACTTGATGAGTTTGTCACAAAACTGATGTAGGCATAATAAAGAAAACGTTTTTTCTTGTCTTTGGTACGTGGATCGCTGTAACTGCACAGCAGCTGTGATGACCATTGATCTCAGGCCTTTGTTCAGATCGTCGATGTCCATTAATTCCATCGGTGTGTTCAGCTCTAGTGATCGTGCAATTTTTTTCAGATTTTCTCTGAATAGAGTGAACTGTATTTTGTTTTCCTCATCACCGAGGTCAGCAGAGACTCTAAACCTGTATATTTTTGTTATTTTGTTAGAGCGGAGTAATAAGTGAAAGTGTTATGAATATTCTAGATGACACGAGTATAGACCTTTTTATAGTCGTTGATTCCTTGTCTCCGCATTCCATGCACTGGTAGGTAGTTTCCTCCTGAAAGTCAACCTTGCAGTTATAAGTACTACATGCGATGTAGTAAGGAGTTGGCCCATGCTCTTGAAGTTGTAATTGGCCTTCTATCCAGTATATTTTGTCCTGAATACATGACTTATGATATTAATAGGAAATGGGTATTTGGCAAATGATAGCAGTTAAAGTGTATAGAAAAGAAAAGAAGGAAATAGAAGATGAAGGACTGCAATGTGAAGACCATTTTAATGTGTTTTTTACATTAGAAGGAAACAGTTTCACCAGCTTTTTATATAACTTTCAATACCATTTCATTAGTTTTTGTGGGTAGTACTCGTTGAGAAGATGCAAGCTCTTCTACTGTATTAGGTAAGTTGAAGTTGCAGGAAAAGATAAAGAATGGCTACCTTTGAACATCTAAAGCATATAATTTGATTACACCTAAATAAACCTGAATGGTTTGAGAAGCAGGAGATGCACTACGTGCACCTCAGTACATCCACCCACAGCTCCCCGCCCCACACGTCTGCGTACATCGCCTCCGCACTCACCTTCACCCCCTTTCCTCCGCCGTAGCCGCTCATCTCCACTACCACCCCGTCCCTCACCCCAGCTTGCCCATTGATCAAATGCCCGTGTCCCCAAGCCGACACCGTGAACCCGTGCTCGGACTCGTACGCGGCTCGGACGAGCTGCGCCACGTCATCCGCCGACTCGGGCCGCAGGACCGCCATTGGCTCCTTCCTCTGCATGCCCCCGAAGTCGATGGAAGCCGCTTCCAGCTCGGACGGCTCCACGTTGAGCCGTCTGCGCATGGACACGTCGGAGAGTTGGGTCAGGTGTAGCGTCAACCCGACCGCGACCATTAACATGCGCGCTGTGGCCAGCACCAACACAATGATCCCCCTCGCATCCATAGTACGCCTGCCGGAATGTGAAATATAAAACGGGAGGAGGGTGGCGGTGGCTAACGTGCGCCGGGACTGTGTTTCTCTAATTAAAAGAACGTGGTAAAAGTAACACATTCCAGCAAGATCATGCACAAGTTTTTTTTGAAAAAAAAATATCTAATTTGGGGATGAATTATAAACACCTAAACAAATCTGAAGATAGATCAGAACTTCTGCATGATCTTGCAGGATTGTGTAACTCTTAAAAGGTTTGTTTAGAAACACCTAAACAAACCTGAACAAAAACAAGTGTTTCTAATTTGGCGAAACACCTAAACCAACCTGAATGGTTTGAGAAGCAGGAACAAACATGTGCGTGATTGGTTGGAGTCTATTCTTTGAGGCAGACATTGACCCATTTCACACTTTTTATATTCCTATGCTAATTTTCATCAAAGATTGGCACTCTAGTCTAAACATGTCCTGCTTTTAAATCTGTTTTGTTTAGATCTGAACTTACCCATGTTATTGATATAAAGAAAGTTAGCAAAAGGAAAAGTGAAGACATCCCTAATGCGAAGAGTGACAAGAAAAAACCTAAGTTGTAAGAATCTTTATTTGTTAGATATTTTATTACGAAAACCTTAGGTAATTATGAAGCTGTGATGTTGATCTTTATTTAAGAATGGTTGTATGAAGTCCATTTAAGAGCGATTTATCTATTTTTGAATGAAATGGTAATTAAGGATGTCATGAACGTGTACGGTGTGAATATGAATATACGAACCTCTTTGTATGAAGCTAGCACAGCTGAGATGGTTGTTTTCTGAATGTCTTCCGGGACCACAAAGATACTTAAAGCGTCCTTGTAAAGAGTTCCGAGTGAATGGCGTTCTTGATAGCATCCGTGTTTAATGATGTCCTATAATGTGTTTGTTTAATATGAAACATACTCGCTGGAAAAAAATATAGAACAGTGGACAGTAAATATGTTTACCATTCATTTAGAGCAACCGTCGGTGAGATACTTGGGTGTATCTCGATGGATGTATCGTAACGAGTTGTGAGTGACAGCCCTATTTGTTGTAAATGTGAAAAAATTAAAATGTATTTAGTGGTAGTTATGTTTATAATAATTTGGGTGATGTACAATGTTAGATTCTGACCTTGGAAAGACGTGGCAAGAATCCTCTTTGCGAAGATAATTGGGTATGTGTAACACCCGCCCTCCGTGGACCCGGTTCACCCGCGACCCAACAGACCGGTAGGGTTACATGGGAGGTCCGAGAACCGTCCGTTACAAAAACATTAATGATTATTTAATAAGAAAACGGTTACGTTTGATTAATGGGATATTAATGACTATTTATTATGAAAACGTTTGTTTTACTTGGTGAAATAAATGTTAGGAGTTATTCCCAAAAATGTGACTGATATAAATACAGAGTAAAAGCGGAAGTAAATAAATGAGTAAAACGACAAATGGTGGGTTCATGCCCAAATGATTAATTAATTTAATGTATCTTGTCCATGCGCCGCCCATCTTCCCACCATCACTGTCCTCCAGGGTTAGCACCTGCACCGTCATGTCTACCTGCGTGTAGCAAAAACAACTACACGCTCAGCATAAGCTGAGGAGTGAATCTAACAAAAGAACATTAAGTGATAACCCATATGGCTATACACATATTAATACCTGTACCTAACGTATGGAAAACCACATGTTACTAACTGATTAATTACACCTGTTGGGACACTATTACGTATAACAAAATAATGTACTACCACATTGAATACGAACATGATGGGGAACATACATGATGTTGACAACCATACTGAATGTTGACGTGACATGGAACATACATGATGACTATATGACTTGATGCATGACTTATGCTATTAGGGACACCCCTGACTTAGTCTCACTTGACAGGATCACCCCTGCACTCCAGTAATGACCCGGGCTCGACAAACGTCGCAAGTGAACTAGCAAAAACCGGGTGGTAGCCGTAGTCTGACTACCATGTATGTACACAAAGCCCACCTGATGAAAACCCGTTGGATCCCAGAGGTTCCTGGACGGGCCCACTGTAGTAGGCGCACGGAAGCCTGACCTCCCTACAGCGGTATGACATGATGATAAACCTAGGACATGCGTCTAGGATGAACATGATGAATACATGTGTCTAGATTGAACATGATGAATGCTTGATGTATTTACCTTTGGTTAACGCCAATAATATATCAAATAAATAACATACATAATGAGGAATAACATTTTATGCAAACACACAATCAGATTCTGAGTCAAAATGGTCAACTGGATTCATTCTTCAAACTGTCTGAAAAAAAACTGCCTGGGAAACGGTCGACCGTACCCTACCGGCGGTCGACCGTGGGATACCATACACTTTGGAGGTCTGGATGGCCGATGGTCCACCGTGGTCCCCCGTCGCGGCCGGCGGTCGACCGTCACGGTGGTGATCGTCGGTCTGGCCATGGGAACGGTCCACCGACCGTAGCGGCGGTCGACTGTCCCGATGACAGTCTTCTGTCTTTGGCTCCGTTTTGGTCCATTTTGCAAACTTAACACCTTGATTCTTTTTAGAACAATAATGTAAACATTGATAAATATATTCCTAGTGATTCCTAAGCCAATATATACAAGTTTTACGTAGTGAACGTTTTGATGGCTAACCTACGAACATGCATTAATTCTACTTAGGTTGCGTACGATATTCCTATGAATATAACAACATAGATTATAACTTGATGTTCTAGAATTAGAGGGGACAACTACTCACCTCTAGTTGAAGGGGTTGACGGAATGATAGGATGAGATGAACGAATGGATGACGATGAATGAACAAATGAATGAACGGTTGAACGGATGAGCGGCTTCACGCGTCAAACCTTCCTCTCTTCCTCTTCCTTCCTCCTCGTCTTCACGCCGGCACTCCGTCCTCCCGCCTTGCTGCTTGGCCGAACACACCAAAGGAGAAGAGGGAGAGATGAACGCTATGGATTGCTATGGATGGGGGTTACAAAATGGTGAGGGAAGTGAATGGAGAAGGATTGATGGAGGAATAATGGAGTATTAAATGGGTATTGATTTGGGGGGTTATGGAATATGAGAGGGTGTAGTGGCGTGTGGTTTGCATGGGAGTTATCTCCCTAAAATTTACTCCGTTGTGTAAATTCTGATCTGAACGGTACGCAGTTTTTCCCCCGAACTTACCCGAATTGAAAACCGATTACGTTTCTAGAATCAGATAGTCAAAACGAATTTAATGATATATTCAAATAGTTTTTATAAGAACTTTATTTTCAAACCTCCGGATCTATCCCAATCATTGATTAGTTTATTTACTTAATTAATGTCGAGAGGCCCGTTATTAAAACATCTTTTACAATTAAAATACATTAGTTTTGGAAAGCCATTTAAAGAGATCAAAATCTCAATATTACTAATTAAAACAATGAGTCTCAATAAATAAATCATTTTTATTTATTTAAAATATTGGCAAAATATTAGGCCGGTTTGTAGGGCGTTACAGTATGTGTCTGCATCCAGTAACTCTTGGATATAAGTTCCCTGAAGTGTTGCAAAATCATCCCACATTCTTAAGATGATCGGCTTACATCTGCATATGGGAAAGTGGTGATATTTTATTTCATGTTTAGTATACATTGTTAAGTAATAGGTGTAATGGCATACTCCTGGTCCATGAGAACTAAATCGCTTATTCTTTGTTTCCCTTTGAAGTGAAAACATACTGCCTTGGTAGTTTAGCAAGTACAGTGTCCAGCACATCTGTTAGTAATGAATTCAACATTATGCACAGATAGAGGAAAAGAACGTAGAGGAAGGAAGTGTTTATATATTAGTCACTTACTTAGACTTGACTTGTTTAGCATAGCTGTATAAAAAGTGTGAAATGGGTCAATAGGTGCCTCGAGGTTTGGTTGGATAAAGAGCTGGTGATCTGGATTGACATCGATAATCAATGTTCTCCTATTCAGTGTCCAAGTGTATCTATATTGTTCATCGGGAACTGAGTATCTTTCCATGACGGGAGTCACCCTGGCATTTGATATGACATATGTTTTGTTCAAGTGAAGGCGATCGTCAACGAAAGGAATATCTATTCCATAAATCATTCCCTTGACTCTGTGTCCCTGCAAGTTATTAGGAGTTTTATACAGAATGCACAATTATCTTATTCGATTTATATTGGGTATTGGTGTTTGGTAACGACTTATACCTCACTATCTTGCATGATCACGGATTTGTAAGTTTTTTCGGGATCCCAACGTGCATGTCTTGTATTCAGCTTCTCTAATACAATAACTTTGCAACTCCACGATCTGGAACTGGGAGTAACATCTAGGAGAGGTTGTTCTACATCCATTGGTCGGACCTGTTATAAAGTTGGATTAAATGAATATCAAAATTCTGTTTTTTGATATGTAATGTGCATGGAGGCTGAATGTACTTAAATCCTGTAACAGACATAATCAGGCAACATAATTTTAGAAGATAGATTGTAGCAAACAATATTACAGAAGTTAGCAAGTTGTGCAAAAAGACTAAATCGAGGCAAATGATTGAGGAAATTCTTAAAGTTAGAGGTTGGCATAACAGTGACTTTCCAAAAGGAAAAATACCATTCAAAATAGTGATAGAATTTGTTTATTTAATATGGTGTAAAACAATTTTTGCCTTAAGTGAGTACATAAAATGGGAGTGCTCAAATCATACTTAAGATTTATATTCAGAAGTTGAAATTCTACAATAAAAGTTACATGTCGTTTAGAAATATAGAATAAAAGCAGATTATAAACAGTTATTGATAAAAGTAAGACATGAGCTAAGCATCCTAATTCTACAATAAAAGGAGGAGGAAACGGTGCGGTTAGTGAAGTAGAGGAGTGTATTTTGAGAATTTTTTTTTGAATGGAAGATAAGTTTTGAATGTGTACCTTGTGTATTACTGTGTTAGGTATTCTAAGATTTCCTTGTACACTATATTTGCAGTGATACTTGTGGTTTTAGAAGTTTCTAATTCATCGTGGATAAGCAACTTTATGGAGGCAGCATTTTTTGCACGAGACATCGCAACATATAATTGGCCATGTGAAAAAACAGGTTGTCTGAGATATACTCCAGCAAATTCCAGTGTCTGACCTTGCGATTTGTTGATTGTCATTGCGAAATAGAGCTTAACTGGGAACTGGGTTCTTTTAAATGGAATGGAACAATGTTCATCTTTAGACATTTGCAGTGGTATTCTTGGAATGAAAACATGCTTCTCCTTGTACTCACCAAATGCTATGTAACAACTAATGATATGATCACTAAATGTAGTACAGATTAAGCGTGTGCCGTTGCATAGTCCTTCGCATGGATTCAGATTTCTTAACAGGATCAATGGGCAATTTTTTTTAAAACTAATGCATGGGGAGGCAGGCCTGCAAAAGTTAGTGTATGAAGCATGTCTTGTCAGTTTCTGTACTTAGGGTCCAATGCTTCGTCGTAGCTTATTAATGTCTTTGCTTCACCAGGGAATTTGGTAATGATGATGTCATTTATTTCATCGACATGATTATTTGTAGTAGTCAGTACTATTCTACCCATCAATAAATACGGATCCTGTTGAAATAGATTTAGGTTTGGGTAAACAGCTGTGAGTAATGAAGTTAAGGGATTTGAATCTGTTGTGATAGGAACAAGAAATTGTGGTGGAATTTGGATGTTTGTTCCTGAAATTGTTGGTATTGTGCCATTGCCAATGTTCATTAGGTACTCACAAAAGGCAGGATCTTCATGTGCTCGCATATTTTCCATTAATGTCAAACGTTTCACTTTACACCATATGTATGAGGATTTTACAATGCATGCATTGATGGTGTCTTGTTTGTTCCCATGTCTAACAACAGGTAATGTTTGTCGTAAGTCACCACCAAAGACGATAACTTTTCCGCCAAACAACTCAGTAGAATTCATCAGATCTTTAAGTGTTATGTCTAATGCCTCAATAATAGCTCGGTCAGCCATAGTGACTTCGTCCCATAAAATCACTCTTGCCTCTCTAAGCAATGCAGCCTCTGCACTTTGTTTTCCAATATTACATGTATGTTTTTCAGTTCCATCAATTGGCAACTTAAATCTAGAGTGCGCTGTGCGACCACCAGGAAGGATGGAGGCATCAATGCCTTAGGTAGCGGTGGCTAAAGCTATCCATTTTTTGCTTCTAATCGTCGCCAATAAAGCTCTATATAAGAATGTTTTTCCAGTCCCGCCAGGTCCATCAACAAAAAATACACTAGGCTTGTTAGACATAACACTTTTCATGATAGAGTTGAAAGCAGCTTCTTGACCGGTATTCAGCTTTTGAGCTAATTCCATATCTTGTTCACTGACATTTATGTTGTATTCCGATCTAAGTTCTTGTGCCCGTGATTCTGCAACGGTTAAGGGGCTAGCATGGTCAACCAAGTTGAAAGTCAGAATATTCTTTCCTAGTGTTTGAGTCACATCTCCAATCAGTTTTAACGCAATTGTTTCCATTTCTATTGCAGTGTATGGGGTGTATGAGAGAAGTCTTCACATAGGTGGCTTTTGTATTTAGTCCATAATTCTTTTGGATTTGGAACATCACGGAATACCAAGAGTGTGGCAAACAATTTCTGCAAGCTGTTAGGCATTTGATACATGACAGCCTCTTACAGGCAAACATCGAGGGAATTATTCCCGACTAAAAGGCCCATTTTCTCTGCAGCTTCTTGAAATGTGGGTGTCATATGGCCATCAACAAGCTTAAGTCTTTCAAATGAAGTTGGTGCTTTGATATGTAGGAGTAGAAGTCGGAGATAATATCTTTCTCATTCAATTGGATTAACACTAACAAGTCGTCCTATTACGTTCTTGCTCTTGCGCTGTGTCCACAATTTGTTCGTGTCTGACCAAACAAAGTACTCCGAAAATTGTATGTAAAAGAGCTGAAGTCGTTTCGCCACGGTATCATGTGCGTTCATTTCAAAGAATTTTGTCAACATTGTACAACACCTATCATCATCTTTTACTATTCTTGTTATTCTTTGGTTTCCAAAAAAATTGATGTATTGAAAGTTTTCTAAGTGTACCTGTAACTAAACAACTCATGGATGCATTTCAGCAATTGGGAATGAAAATATTCTCCATGATGCCTCTGGGGCGGAAACCCATCTTGCATTCTGAAAGTCTTTAATCTCATCAGGTTGAGATGAGTTTTCATCATTTGAAATCCCGATAGTAATCCTATCATGTCCTTTATAAACATATTTGTATATATACTTAACAGATTTGACTAAAGCACAAATCTCTACATTAATATGGCAGTCAAACTTTAACAAAAGCTGTGGATTGTATGGTACTACCCAGGAGTTGTCAAGTTCGATACCTCTTACTCCTACAACATTGGGACTTTTCCTTCTGCGATATATAGGAAACGAATCCTCCCCAAATGAAGTTTCTTCACATAAAGCGCGAGGGTACTTACTTCTACAAGAAGAAGTGAGGTGACCTTTTTTTGTCATGCAAGGGCAGTTTCGGTTTAGAACACCACAGGGGCCATGTATCATGTGTTTCTTTACAAGTGCGTATAGTCGAGGTTGGTGTATGATGTCAGGTATCTCGGCACAAACAAACTTATCACATGAATCAGATGTTTGAATTTTTGAAGATGTCTTTAAAATGATAAGAAAATGTGCATGTGGAAGACCACGCTTTTGAAATTCAATGACATATATGTACACACCGACCTCACCAAAGAACTTTTTCTTAATTATATCATTTTTGAATTCCTGAAGTCGAGCATAAAACGCCCTACACACAAGGTCTGGCCTGTTCTGCGCCTCATCGTGATGTTGCAAGAGTTCTTTGATTTCTGGCCAATTTGGGTTACAGGTCATCGTGACAAACAGATCAGGTTTTCCATAGTGCTGAACAATAGCCATAGCATCTAGATAACGTTTACGCATATCTCGTGGCCCTCCTATAAAAGTAGCAGGGAGAATAACACGCTTTCCAATATCATTCCCATATACCATTCCTAAACACATGCTATCCATAACGCCTTGATAGGTTTCTGATCTCAAATCGAGTTGTTTGATTCTATAGTAATCCAATCGTTGTGTCTCAATTTTAATATAGACGTCAACAATGAATTGCTGAAATAGTCTTCCAGTATAAAGCAAGAAACTGCTATCATGTTGACGTACTTGAAATTTGTAAGCGAAGTATTCTCGACATGAAACTGTTTTTCTCTTACGTCCACGTTTCAAATTATGTTCTTCAATTTCAATTAGTTCCTCAGCAGTTTGTACAGTATTAACATTTATTGTGGGGGACTGTAGTTCTGTACTTTGCACTAATCGGCGTTGTGATTCTGATTGTATCCTATCAATGCCCGTATGCCATCCTGGTTTTCCACGAGGAAATAAAAGGGGATATTGCAAAGGATCATAGCAACCATAAAAGTATTGTATACTTTGTGATCTCCCACTATGACCATAAACTCGAATGTGTTTGTTTCCTTGGGTTTCATTGTTACTGTCTTCAACCCATATTGCAGCAATTTGCGAGGCTGTGGGAGTGTTGTAAATTCTTTGGTCTAAGCCTGGATTGTTATGCAACTTTATACTAAAGTCTGCATCATGACATACATCTTTTAGACTTTTGAAGAAGCGAGAATATGGGTTATGTGAGATGACTTGAACAAGGGTTGAAACTATGTCTTTGTCCAATCTATCAGATGTTTGCACACTATCCTCGATTTGCTGATCTGTGTCAAAGAAGTATAACTGCATGCAGATTCTTTGGAGGCAATCCATCTGAAAGCAAGTCATTGATAAAATGATAGATCTGTCCTTGCACCTTAAAGGTATAGATGCCTTTATTCCTCTTGCATAGATCTTTGTCATAATTATAAATACCAATCGAAGTAAAGGCGAATGTGTTGTTATATGTGCGCACTAAAGATTGAAATTGTGTTGCTTGTATGTCTCTGCCAATGAATAAGTCCCTCAAAGGACCTGGCATTTGCGTGGAAGCAAGAACAATCTCACCTCGACAACAACAAAATCCCGGGGGTTCAAACTGAAGCCGTTTTGCACCGCAAAATATACAATCCATGACTCTTTTTAGGGAAAAAGGTGAATCTTGATGCACATAGTTTGAAGGAGATTGAATACATTCTATGAATATGAATTAGTAATGAATATTTGCAGACATTGGATAAGTAGGGAGTATGTAAGTTTGTGAATCATTATGTTTGGTTATTTTGGTTGAGTAGTTGGGAAAAGAAGAAGAAGCGATTAGCAATTGTACTTTAAACCTAAAAAGAAGGTATACTTGATTTGTAAATGAACAAGTACATAAATGAAGGACCTTCGGTGGTTAAAGACGTGGGGGTAAATTCGGCTTGCGTTGGTGGACCGACATTCTCTGTTTTTGCCTTTTCACGTGCCTCACGATACCTAAGTCGACGTCTGAAGTTTCTTTGTTCACGACGGCTATCATCAATTCTTGTATGGGTAGAGGTAGAACCAATTTCCATTAGATCTTAATAAAAGTAAAAATAACCTAGATCACAGACTTGTAATTGCTTACAATTAAATAGAGAATATACATAAGGTGGAAAGAAATCATGATCTAGGACTAAGGTCAGTAGGGTACGTAGAAAGGAATACAATAACTACACTAAATGGGGCAATTACTGAGCATGAAAAAATGAAATGAAATATATTAAAAGCAGATGAAAGTGATTGATGTGTACCAGGGCTATGTAATGAATGTAAGCTTCCTGTATGCTCCTCTTTTTAAATCTGGAAAAAGTTTTATCCGTAATAATTACCAATCAATCCTAATAAAAGTTGTAGGATTGAAAAACTTTAGGTAAAATGAGAACAATTCTTATAGTGAATGCATACAAAAGATATAAAAGATAAACCTGTTTTAAGATGATTTCAATTAGTAGATCCTCCACGTAAGGATAGCACAAAACGTAAAGGTATAAATTGAAGATGCATTTACTATGTATTATGGTAAGCATAGGAGTAAAGCAAGCATAAATGATCCAGTTTCTTCATGAAAATCAACATCAACATCATATTATATAGGAAAACCAGCCACTAATATTTCTCTTTTCTGTTGGTAATCAATGCAAACTGAGATTGCTTTAAAAAATCAGTCCCTACAGCCTCTGTTTTATATTAAAAACAAGTGACTTTCTTCAAAAAAACAAGTAACCACCATAAAAAGCAGAGTCCATACATGTCATTGATGCATGAAATACATTAAAAATCAATAGCACTGTTGTGGATGAAAATGGATGCATATCTGAATCTAATTTTAAATTGTATTTTTATGATTTTACCTACCTGCTCATTCCTTCCAACATGTTTAGAAAGAATGGTTTATAGTTGCATGCATGATGATGTCAACATATTAGAATTCCAAATTTTGTAATAAGTCTTATATAAGAGTATTCACTTTTTTGGGGCAGACAACTGATTTAACTCACTCCTCGCTTAACTAAGAAAATCAAGATTGAAACATAGAAGCAACATAACTCGTTGCACGTAATCGTTGTCTATATAAGTCGTTTTAACACTTTTAGTTCATGTTGCAGGTTTCTATTAAGTACCAATACCTTTGGCTCTAGTAAGATACACATTTTGCTATAATTTTTTAACATGTCTTCTTCTAAGTCTTGAGATCGAGTGCTTGCTGAATTCAATATAAACTCGCTTCAATGTACTGCAATTTGTAAAACTTTTGACTTACAATAGGCCAATCAGTCATTGAACACATATGAAAAAGGATATGTTATTGTTATTTTTTAGAAAGGAAATACACACATAGAGCTTGACTTCTCTAATTACCTTAAAAACAAAGTGTTCACCCATATTTACTACACAGACTATATGCTTTCACTAGTTGTGTATTAATTCATAAATCACTCAGTCTGAACCAATTTTATTTAAAAGAGAACAAAGTCAGCCCTTATTGTTTCAAAAGCTGCCCCAAAAGTATGACTACTCACATTAAAATAATCTTCACAATGATATTCTGTTTCAAAATCAGCTTCTAAAATTTCTCTTCTATCTTGTAAAAGTTTCTTTCCTTTTTTTTTGAAGAAAAGTGAGAAGAAAAAGTGATGAAGTGAAAAAATTTGTATGTCTTTAGAATCCCCCCTTATTACGTAATACCTCCCAACCTTTGGTATCCAACATGTGGTAGAAGTAAAAATCTTTGAAGCATAGAATACAGTTGCAAAAGATTTTCCAAACGAGACTGAAGTTCAATTTTTAAACCAGCCCTAGGTGTTTCACATGTATTCCAAAAAGTAACCTCAAATTCATATTCTGTTTCAAAACCAATTTCAAATATATACTCCGTTTCAATTTCATATTCATATATTCTTTGTTTTTAAAGAAATTCCAATGAAGAACACAATTTCTTCATTTAAAACTGCAGTGCGTTCCACTTTTCAAAGCAAGATTAACATGCAGTGTCAATTCGTAGGTCGAAAATTACTCTTAAAAAAATCTAATTCAAAAAATGCGGATTTGGTTATCTGAATTTGAAGTGCATAAAACCAGAGATTGCAGCAAAGAAAAATTATACTCTCTAGGTAAACAATAAATTAGGTTTTTGAAGAAGGAAAAGCTGGGAAAACAAGGATAATTAGAGGAAGGGTTGATGAGACGCATTATCAAAATTAGAGAGAAAAATTACCTGGATAAAGTGAAGGAGAACAAATCTTGGAGACGTAGGAGGGTACGAGTTATTTATTAATAGATGGGTGGCCGGTGGAAGAGATCTTGGGGCGGTGGCGGTGGGGGGAAGTACGAGAACGAACGAACGGCGGTGGCGGCAAAGGAAGTACGAGAAGAGTTTGGGGAAAGAGAGAAAAGCAAGAAAGAAAGGCGGTGACAGTGGAGAAGTGGTTAAGTGGGTAAAGGGACGGAAAAAGAGCTAATATAAGGGAGATAAAAGCAGGTGGCTCTTATAATATAAGGGGGGACTCGTGGAGTCGTGTAGTCCGGTAGTTTCGCTCCAACTCCAAAATCAACCACAATCACCATGATAGCTTTCACCATGGCCACCACGAGGGTTGTGCCGGCCGTTATAATTGGCCGCGGACGAGTGGGAAAGGCCCTTCATGACATGGGAAATGGTGAAGATGTGTTGGTAAAGAGGGGAGAGCGTGTGCCCTTGGACTTCCCCGGCCCCATCTTCGTCTGCACTAGGAATGATGATCTTGAGGCAGTACTAGAAGCTACCCCTAATTCTCGCTGGAGCGGTATTATACTTTACATTTCTGCCTGCATTTTTGTACTCCATCTCCTCCGAGAACACCGTTCCATTTTTGTACTTAAAAGTTTAAACAATAATCATAGAATGATAAAAATATTCAGTTTTTTGGATTTGACTTTTCTATGGATTCACAATTTTAAAGATGATTCAAGTCTAAAGTAGTAATTAGATTTGCTTAATCTTTGCTGTTTTTTTTTAAATTTTCAGTTTGTTTAATGTTTAAGCACAACAGAAGTCGGGTGATTTCTGGGAAATGGTGGACGAAGTGGTTTAAGTAAAGGGTAATGGGTAGGATATGTTAAGGTGAGTTGGGAATGATCAGGAGAAGGGATGAAGGGCAATTCCGAATTTCTTACAGAAAAGGAAGACTAGACAGATTTGGTAAAACTGCTGAATTTCACAGGTCTAGCTATTTAGGTTTCTATGAAGGAGCAGGGTGATTGAAGAATGCCATGTTCAGGGTATAATGAATTGAAGTACTGTCTTAAAATGGTCTAGCAATTCTGGGCTAAAAACAAATGACACAACAGACGGTTGGAGGTTTGGTTTCCTTAGTTCGTTGGCTTAATTTGTAATGGAAAAGAATAGGTAATGGATGTGCGGTAAAGGAAAAGGAAAGAGATTGATTGTTATAAGTGGCCATGGATTATCGGGGTAACAATGGACAATTTAAGGACCCGAATCAAGCTATAATTTTGCAATTCCAGAAACTGAGATATGCAGGCTCAGAACAAGTGACAAGGAACCATCTTTTGGTATTACACACGGCAAAGAACAATTACATCAAGAAGATATGACAGACCTCTTTCAACTAACAACCTACTAGATGATTTCTCCAACACTTAGCTCCCAAAAAACTAAATGCACTTGATTCTAAAATTTAGTCAAGACTCAACATAAAAGTTTTAGCATCCATCAAAGTCTGAGCTTTATTCATGAACTTCAAGGCTTATTTTTAGTCGGAACCAAGCATAGAAAACTCCATACTTTCTCCATAACAGCTCAGGGATAAGGGAATAAAAGCAAGAGAAAATCAGCTCCAGAATAATCAAGGATCTGGATGAAAATACCAGGGAATAATAGTGAACATAAAATAGTAAACAATCCACCAGAAAAAATATACTGATAAAACAACAAAAAATGAGGCCATGCATGGAGGTCCCACTTATATTGCTGGCTGTTGCACTCCACCTTGCTGCAAATATTGAATCTTACTGTGTGGAAGTATCTTATCTTAGACAGCATCACTAAAGGTATAGAACCTTAAATGGGACCACATTTACATCTCAATTATTCCTTAATGATCATTAGGTCATGATTAACCTTTGTGACCAATTGACCACTTGAATCACCTTGATGTTGCATGTTTGGCACCAGCTCTAAGTGCAGCTGAAATTAGGATTTGGAAAAGAATTTGTACATGCACTTTCCTAGCTTGATAAGACTACTCACTCCTAACTAATCTATTTATGGTCATTAGGTGTGAGTTAGCTATTGGATTAGAACAGCATATCTCCCCATACATTTCAGTAGATAACTAGTAATTCTATAGGAAGTCTCTTGGGCTGTTGGATTCTTTTTCCAGGTTGTTCTAAGGCCATTTTGGACTTTAAATAACTAGGATTGGTATTGCCTTCTCTTTTTGGATTAATCATCATTTTAAAATATCCGTGCAGTCCTTCAAAATCATATGGTTTTAGGACTATTTTGGATAATGACATGGCTGTCTTGTTGTTGCATTGGCTTACTGGGATTCACATACCGTCAGATTCTTCTTGGATTATTGTAAAATCAGATAGCAAACACAACAAATCTTAAAGATGTTGCAGATTTAGTATTTTTGCAGAATGGAATGCTGGAACCATGGTTACAAAGTAAAGGCCTAGGTGACGCCGACCAAGTTTTGGCATACTTTGCAGTAGCTAAACTGGGTGATCGCCCTACCGATGGTAAAACGGATGCAAATCCCGAAGGCTTGACGGCAGCTTATGGGAAGTGGGCATCTGCAGTTGCTTCGAGATTGCATACTGGCGGGCTTTCCTGCAAAGTATGTATGAATGTCTATGGAATAGGTAGTTAAAAACTCCTTATTTTAGGTGTGAATGTTCCATAATTAGTCTAGGATAGAACAACTATGACCTAAGCAAAGGTCAATTTCATTTTTCTATATCTTTTGTCATTTCCACAGAAAGAAATTCATCGCTCTATTCTATCTCTAAACTTGACAATTAACAACTCTTCTTGCATAATTTTTTCTTTTTTATCTATTTAGACTGTTTCAAAAGTTTGTTCCACTTTTTGTGGATGAATTTATTTCTCTCCTCTTAACATATTTTCAACCTCACAATTTTACTTTATTAAAAAGGGAGCTAAGTCAAAGTAAGTACAATATTATGGGACAGGAGTACAAGTTTATATCACCCGTCTTGGAGAGCCTTATTCTTTTGTATTGGCATTATCTGGTGCAAGTAATATGAAAATATGGAATTGCTTGGTTGTTTTCTTCTCAATAGATAGCTAATATCTTGCATTAATAATATACGGTCTTTTAAATTTTTCTTTTTATAAATATGGAGTACAATCTCTAAACTTCAATATATTTTGCAGAAATTTATTTGATTGTTTTGGTTTCAAACCCAGATTCTTGACAAAGAGGGATTTCAAAAACAAATGTTAGAAAAACTTATATGGATAAGTGCATTCATGCTTGTTGGAGCTCGCCATCCAGGAGCAACTGTCGGCACTGTTGAAAAGGAGTATCGCTCCGAGGTAAATAATAAATAGTTTATCTTACATCTATCGTTTATAAGATTTTTATTTAACCATACTACGCATTTCAATGTGAAAGTAATCAAAGATATGTGTCTTCAAAATTACATACCTTCTTTTAAAAATACAAGTGCATTTTCAAGGTTTACATACTTTTCCCACATAAAACCCTTGAGTGGATGATAAGTAACAAGCTTCAATGGAATTTGAAAACGGACAGTGGTGTAGGTATTATAAATTCTTATAGATGTTGGTTGGAATTTCTGTTTGTTTTGCTTTTCCTTCGTTAATATTAGTTTGTTCTTTGTTTTTTTGTGCTCTGTGCTTTGTATTCTGTGATCTTGTGCTATCTATGTTACTTGAGCCGGAGGTCTCTTGGAAACAGCCTCCCTACTTTCGAGTAGGGGTAAAGTCTGTGTACACACACCGCCAGACCCTAGTCTCGTGGGATCCAACTGGGTTGTTGTTGCATATGAGTTGATCCCTAACTTGTCCCACTTCACTTGCTAGTTGTTTTGCTGGTGCATTAGGCTTAGAGCCCTTAGGAGACTTCACAAAATCAATCCTAAGATTAAGGAACGTAGTGTATATTAGGAATATGTTGTAATTAGATTTTGATGATACAAAATTTTAGAAAACTAGAACCCTTTATTTATTTTAGTAGTCTTAGGTCTACAAGAAGACAAAAAGACTTCATGAAGAAATGACCAAACAAAGAGAATGCTCAACGAGAAGACAAGGAGACTACATAGGGAATGAAGAGGAAGATCAAAGAAGGCAAGGGAATGAGATGACATAACAGACGAAGAGACATGCTATGCAAAGAAGAGTGCGAAAAGGAATGCAGGAAAGGCAGTTCTTTGCAATAAGAAAACTTCCGGAAAGCTAGATAGACGTAAAGAGAGTCAAGGAAAATATAAGCTGACCCTAGCTGAAAATCCATAATGTCAAAGATATGAAGTTTTCAAAAAGAAAAGCAGTCAACCCTTCAGAAAAAGAGTCCTAGAATCTCATAACTAGGCGAGAACAGAGGCTATTAAGGGGCTTTTATTCTAATACCAAACTTGAAATTCGATTTCCTCAAAGGACATAGGGTAATGCTGCTATATATATAAGATAAGCACAAAAATCAGTTTTATAAAACATTGATTTCTTTGAGCCATGCAGTGTGCAATGGACATGGATCAGGCTTTCCTGCAGCAAGTGCTTTCTCTGAGAGCGCATAGAACCAGCCATTTCAATCATGATGATTGGT